CAAGCTGGCCTTCAACTCCTGGTCCTACTCTTCCTGCCTCCAAATGCTGGCCTATGAGTTATTTTCAATATAAACAATCTCACTACACACACCAACATCAATTTCTTTACAGAGCATAAAGCCACAAATAAAGACTACTGAGCACAGGGCTCAAGACCTGCTTCCGCCGGGTGTTGGTGGTGCACACCTTTAATCCCAGCACTCGGGAGGCAGAGGCAGGCGGATCTCTGTGAGTTCGAGGCCAGCCTGGTCTACAAAGTGAGTTCCAGGACAGCCTCCAAAACAATACAGAGAAATCCTGTCTCGAAAAACCAAAAAAAAAAAAAAAAAAAAAAAAAAAAAGCAAGTCTGTAAGGATACAAGGAGGATGTTTTAGAGACCATTTATTGGGTTTTTATTACTAAACAAACAGAAAAACAACACACATAGTACATTCTCACTTAATGCGATATCTAAAGCAGTGGGACTCACAGAAAAAGGAAACAGAATGGTGGCTACCAAGGCTGCAGTGAGGAAGAGAGGGAAGCTGTGGTTCAAGGGGGGATGGATTTCAGAGGTGCACAATGAAAACATTCTGTAGACATGTTTGACAGTAATGCAAGTATACAAGAAACTTGATATAGAATAAGTATGTAACCGAAGAGAAAAAGAACACCCAGTACCATAGATGAGAACCACATCCACAACACACTAATAAAAAAAAAAATAGAAACAGTAAAGCCAGGTAGTGGTGGCGCACACCTTTAGTCCTAGCACTCAGGAGGCAGAGGCAGGCGGATCTTTGTGAGTTCCAAGCCAGCCTCGTCTACAGAGTGAGTTCCAGGACAGCCAGGACTGTTTCACTGAGAAACCTTGTCTCAATAAAACAAACAAAAAATTCCTTTTGCAAAGTACTTTGACCTACCCATGCTCTGGTAGAGAGAATTGAGACAAACACCTGATCTAGAGTTCAGCATGGTGACTCATACTTGTGTTCCCAACAGCACTCAGGAAGCTGAGGCAGGAGAACTGCTTAAAGTCCAAGGCCAGCCTACAGAGTGAGACTTGTCTTTCTGTCCCTGCCTGCCCCATCTCCCTCCCTCCCTCCCCACCGTGGCCCTCCCACTACCACGACCATCCAGGTGTCCAGCTCAGTCGTACAGAGAAGAAGCCACACAAGTGACAACTTGGTAGCAGGAGAACAAAAGGAAACGAGAAAGGCAGACAGGGACACTGGAGGGGACAACCCCCCCCAATATGTCACAGGTACCTTTTTCAAAAAGGTTGCAGCTGTTTCTCTCTTTGTTGTAGTGATCCGCTTCACCCCATCCGGGGATTGGACTCGGATTATCTGTTGTAAGTGAAGTAAGGTGGTTACTGAAGCCAGTGAGTGTCCATTGGGTAAGACTCACACCTCAAGTCTTCTGGCATCTGGACTGTTGAAACTGGAAGGTGAAAGCCACTCTTCCCCACCTCCCTCTGCAGCGCATGCCCCTGTGAATGCAGGTGCACTCACTTGTGCACACCCTGCTCTCCACCTAGTCTCTGGGGGACAGGGCTCACTGAACCTGGAGCTCACCATTTCAGCTACTCTGGCTGGCCAGCAAGCAGCTGGGCTCACCCATCTCCACTTTCTGCAGTGCTAGAGTTGCAGATGCACACCACCCTGTCCAGCTTTACCATGGGTGCTGGGAATGCAAATTCAGGCCCTCAGGCGTGCAGAGCAAGCCCTTTACCCACTAGACCGTCTCCCCAATCTCAACCCCACTGTGCTGAAGGGGAAAGGAGAGGTGAGGTGCATCATTATCACATGGACGATGGCCTAGAGCACCATTCTGACTCAAACACCTTATAGTTTTGTACACGACATATAACATCAAGGCTAAACGTGGTGGGAATGCCTGTCATCCCAAGCACTCCAGAGGAGGAGGCAAGAGCAACGGAAGAGGGCAGCCAGGGCCACATGAGACCATCTTAAGGTAGATTTTTTTTTTTAATTTTACACGTGTAGGTGTTCTGCCTTGGGTATCTGTGCACCACACGCATGCATTGCCCTTCAAGGTCAGAAGAGGGCATGACATGAAACCATCTTTAAAAAAAAGGCTGGAGAGGTGGCTTAGCTCTTAAGAGCAATAGCTGTTAATTGCATAAGATCAGGTTCAATTCCCAGCACCTTCAGGGCAGCTCTTAACTGACTCCAGTTCCAGGGATGAGATGAAATGCACACTTCTGCCCACAGGATCCATCATGATTGTGGTGCACATAAATTCACACAAGCACACATATATAAACATAAAAATAAAACACACATTACTTTAAAAGTAAAATAAAGGCCCTTAATATCATAGTAAACTCTGCTATTAGTAGCTTGATTTCTAGGCAGGGTTTTAACAAAATGTATTTCCATGGCAAGGCAAAGCTAAAAATGTTGGCTGCCCTTCAAGACTCCTAAGTACAGGCCAGTTTCTAGTCCTTGATTTCTACACTGACCCAAGCCTTCTGAGAACATGTCATTCATTATGCTAGCCTTAACTGGCATGCCCTATAAACTAGGCAGCTGTTGTCCAGCCACCCGAGGGCTGAGAGGGAAGAAACAAAATATCTCGGAAAATGCCTGTTATACTTCCTACTCCAGCAGTCATTAATGGAGCACTATACAGAAAATGCTTTGCAGATGAAAAATAAGACAAGGCATTGTTTAAAGATTTCTCCTGACATACTGCAGAATTCCACAATGGCTTCCAGTCAACTGAATTTTGTCTACTTTCATCAAAGTAACTAAGACTAATGTGGGTTTTCTAAAATAGCATGATCGAAGTCTCTCAATTTTTAGTGACTTTTACCTGGCTTTGTCCCGAATATTCAACACTTAGATTTTGTTCTGGATAATCCCTATGAATATCCTGATTGTTAAAGGGCATAAAATGGTGTACGCAGCTGCTTCTTAACTACATCTGTCTTGTTTCCTCACCCTGCTCACTCATCTGTATTCGGTGCACTCTTGGAATTTGATACCTAGGAAAAACACCTTTATAAAAGTAAGGAAACTATTTGCACATATTTCATTCTTCGATCTGTCTTCAACACTGAGGCATGTCAAAAAAAGACGTCTGCTTCTCTGTGGAAGGCTCTACAAATGCTCCTTCATCCAATCACACAGGAATGAGAGCCTGTCATCGCCACTATGAAAGAAGCCACAGGGAAGAACCCTTTTGTTTGGTTGACTTTTATACGGTGGTACAAACCGTGTAGACCAAACTGGCTTCAAATCCTCTATCCTCCTTGCCTAGCTTTCCCAAGTCCTGGAATTACAGGCCTATGATCACACTTAGCTTACCAAAGAATTCTGCAGTGCAAGTCACCACTTGATCTACAACATGGCATAGGAGTCTGGATTTAACAAGAAACAAACTTGTACTGAGAAAGTTTTGGACTAACCTCTGACACAGGCTGCAAGAGAAAAGATATGGAACAGACAGATTGGGCCACATAGAATACAGATTCTGAATAAGTTAGATGTGAGGGGACAAGCACCAGCAGTTCCGGGTATTTGGGAAGCTAAGGAGGAAGGCTTGTACACTGGAGCTAGAAGACTGGCTGGACATAGCTGAAACCTGGAAGGGAGGGAGGGAGGGAGGGAGGGAGGGAGGGAGGGAGGGAGGGAGGGAGGGAGGGAGGGAGGGAGGGAGGGAGGGAGGGAAGTTTGTTCTCAGAATTGTTAATTTTTAACATTATCACCACAGAAATTCTTTTTTTTTTTTTTTTTTTGGCTTTTTGAGACAGGGTTCCTCTGTATTGTTTTGGAGGCTGTCCTGGAACTCGCTCTGTAGACCAGGCTAGCCTAGAACTCACAGAGATCTGCCTGTGTCTGCTGCCTGAGTGCTGGGATTAGAGAGAGCACCACCAACACCTGGCCAGAAATTCTTTAAAGACCTCCCTTTGAATTAAAAGCAAACAGGGCAGGCTGGAGAGATGGCTCAGAGATTCAGAGCACTGTCTGCTCTTCCAAAGGTCCTGAGTTCAATTCCCAGCAACCACATGGTGGCTCACAACCATCTATAGTCGGATCTGATGCCCTCTTCTGGCATGCAGGCATACATGCTGGTAGAATACTGTATACGTAAAAAATAAATCTTAAAAAAAAAAAGGCCAGGGGGGTGGTGGTGTCCAGCTCTCAGGAGGCAAAGGCAGGCGGATCTGAGTTCAAGAGTTCAAGGCCAGCCTGGTCTACAAGAACAAAAGAACAAACTAGTTCCAGAACAGGCCTCCAAAGTGACAGAGAAACCCTGTCTCAAAAAAAACAACAACAAAAAGAGGATCAGAGAGATGGCTCAGCAGGTATGAGCACTTACTGCTCTTGCTGAGAATCCTAATTCAGTTCCCAGCATCCATGCTGAACTGCTCACAACTGCCTGTAACTTTAGCTTCAGGTATCTCAACACTTTGGGCTTCAACCAACAACTACACTCAAATACACATACCCACACTTGGGCACACATATACATATAATTTTCTAAAAATGGGGCTGGTGAAATAGCTCAACTCATTATGAGCACTAGTTGTGGGACTGGGGAGATGGCTCAGAGGTTAAGAGCACTGGCTGCTCTTCCAGAGGACCTAAGTTCAATTCCCACCAACCACATGGTGGCTCACAACCTATAACTCTAGTTCCTGGGGATCCGATGCCTATTCTGACCTCTTTGGGAACCAGACATCTAAGATAGTAAACTTAAGTTTCTCTACATATCTCTCCAGGGAGAACAGAAGACCCCTAAATGGAGCTTGGGGGGGGGAGAAGCCACCCTCAGAGAAAAGCCTTAATTAACTCTTAACCTACCAGAAATAATAGCCCTCGTTTACAATCCCAGTATGAGGCAGGAAGATGTCAAGGTCAAGGATGGTGTGGGATAAACTAGTAAGACTGTCTCAAAAAAATAAAACAAAACGCCCCAAGAGCCGGACTTCCCTGGAAACCCATGGAATCCAGAAAGAAGTGACGTTATTTCGAATTCAGGGAACCACTGGAGAGCTGTCCCAGGCCTAAAGCACCCAAACATGGTTCCGATCTCCCACATACTGAAAAACCCCTCAATGGTGACCACACTTCTTCCTTCAGGCCGGCCTGTTGCTCACGTTTACTTTGGTGAGAAGCTCGCACAAGGGTTAACAAACGGCTAGCCACTGCTTTCCCTGTTACATTTCACGGGGGAGGGGGGTGACAATCTCTGTCAGGCCACAGTGAAATCGGCCTTCTTTATCACACTCGTTTTGAACAGGTAGGCAAGCTGCCTCTGCCAAAGGGGAGCCGGTCCCGCCAGGTTGCTGCCTGCCCCCTTCCCCCGCCCCCGAACACTTCCTCTGTGGGGAAGGGGCTCCCTAACGATGCCCTTCTCCCGACAGACTCTTCCGGAGTGAAATCATGACGAGGCACTGCTGGGATGGGGGAGGAGAAAGCCCTTCGGACTAGAGGAAAGGACGTAGCCGGCTTCGGGGCCTGGGAGGAGGCAGGGTCCCTCGGAGTGACCTGCGGCAAGCAGGGAGGCCGCTCCACTCGGACCGCTCGGCCGCCTCCCCGCCAGCCTCTCCAGGCTCAGCTAAGGCAGGTACCTCCACAAACAAACCCAGGGCCAGTGAGGAGGAGCCGCTGGCTGCTAGCACCGTGTCTCGCGGGCCCGCCCAGGAGGCCGGCAAATCTGCTGCCTCATCCCGGCGCCCCGCTCCCTCCCGGCCGCCGCACTCACGATGCTCTCGGCCATGGCGGCCGCTCCTGTCTCCGGGTTGGGGCCCCGGGCTGCCGCCGCCTGTCTCCCCAAAGGCCTCGCAGCCCCGGCCTCGGCCTCAGTCCCGGCCCCGGCCTCCCGCCGCCGCCGCCACCTCCGCTCCAGCTTCGCCTCCCGGCTCCGCCAGCCGCCGACGTCCAGTGCTTCGCTCAACGCACTCCGCCAGGCAAACACAGACGCGAAACAAGGTTCCGGGCACCCCCTCCACCCCCACGCCAACGGCCGCGCGCATGCGCAAACAGAGCTGCGCACACCTCAGCCCCGCCCATCACCGGTTCCGAGGACGTCTGCAAAAGAGACTTGCTCCTGAACGTTTCAAACAATACTGAAAAGCCCCAGGAAGAGAGAGCATCAATATGTCACACACACCCCAAAAAAGCAATCGCCATTGAGGGAATTCTGTATCGTCTTCACAATTTTCCAGCAATAAGGTGGAGCTCCTTTTGCATTTCCTTTGTAACTTCATGCGTAAGATTTGAAGGAGCAGACATTATGGAGATCTTTTAAGGGACTAAAAGCCACCGTTTTGTTTTGTTTTGGGTTTTTGTTTGTTTTTTTTTTTTTGAGTAATTTGTTTTTGTGTAGCACTAGCTTCCCTGGAACTCGCTCTGTAGACCAGGCTAGTCTCAAACTCACAGAGATCCACCTGCTTCTGCCTACCAAGCCCTGGGATTAAAGACATGTGCCAACTCACCTGACTAGGCTTTAAAAAAATTAAGATTTTTGTCCGGGCATTGGTGGGTGCACGCTTTTAATTCCAGCACTTGGGAGGCAGAGGCAGGAAGATCTCTGTGAGTTCGAGGCGGGCCAGGTTTACAGAGTGAGTTCCAGGACAGCCAGGACTACACAGAGAAAACTGTCTCGAGAACAGACAAAAAAAATGTGACTTTCATATCTGGTAATTAATATCACTTTGCATACTGTTTCCAAGGTTCACTCTTGTGGTGTCTGGACTCTATTCCTCCCCCTCCCTTCCCCCCTCTCCCTCCCCCTCTCCCCATTTCTTTTTCTTCAATTCTGGCAAAAGAATAAGAATCCAGAGTCGTGTGTAAGAGTGGTTATGAAGTGCTCTCCCACTAAGCTACAAACCTAGCCCAATCGAGAACGTCCCCCCTCCCCCCGTAGCTTTGCAGCCTCTCCCAGAACTCCATCGTGTAGACCAGGCCGGCCTCGAATTCACAGATCCTCCTGCCTCTGCCTCCCGAGGGCTGGGATTAAAGGATTTGCACCGCCACCACCAGGTGGCCTAATGGAGAACACCTCATCTAAGAGGACTCATAACAGCGTCAGGTCATAGTGGAAGCCTGGATGGAAGAGGTAATGTAAAGCTGCAGGCACAGGTAAGGATATAGCTCTGTGAGGTCCTGGATTCCATCCTCAACCCCTGGGGTTGGGGGAGAAGAAAAGAAAAGGCTATGTTGGTAATGATGGAGGACACTGGAGGGCCCCAGGCAGCGGTGATGACGCAGTAGGGATGGCAAACGCCAGGACACATGGGCCAGCAAATTTGTCTGAATTATAAAATTACAAGCTAGAGAGCAAGGGTAGATACAGAAAAAAAAAAAAGCCAAGGCTAGGCCTGGAATGTCTGTCAAAAAGCTGAAACTTGGGCTGGAAAGACGGCTCAGAGGTTAAGAGAACTGGCTATTTTCACAGAGGGCCCCAGGTTCAATTCCCGGTACCCACCCACCTGGCAGCTCACAGCTGTTTATAACTCCAGTTCCGGGAGATGTGAAGCCTTCTTCTGACCTCTAAAGGCACCGCACTCAGGTGGTGCACAGACACAGATGTAAGCAAAACAACACACCCATACACATAAAATAAACAACTGGGCTGGAATGATGGCTCAGAGGTTAAGAGCACTGACTGCTCTTCCAGAGGTCCTGAGTTCAATTCCCAGCAACCACATGGTGGCTCACAACCATTCATAATGAGATCTGGTGCTCTCTTCTGAATACACATGGATTTTGTATTCATAATAAATAAATAAAACAGCTGGAACTCAGGGGGGTCTGGGGTGGAAACAGGAGGGGGCACATGGCAGGTACAGCAGGACCTCCATCTTGCCCTAAACATGTCCATGATATCCATGAAAGTCCTGTGGGCCTACCGTGACAGTGACAAACACCTGCACACCACACACATTCCAGTTGGAAGCAGGGAGACCTTCGGAGGGATGCATCCAAGGCCACACAGAGTTGCCGTTTGGTAGATTCCAGTGTCAACAGGCTTTGAACATGCCTTCTGTCTCCATAATAAGTCGTGTCTCTCAAGTCCTTTAGCCAAGAGGACTGCTCAGTGACCATAACAAAATCCTGCCTTTGAGAAACTTGGAGGGAGGGGACATCTGGAATGTGAATACTGATTTGTTTATACGCTGGATAAACTAGGGGGGGGAGTAAATTGGCATTTGTGCTGCCCAATGGGCTCCTGGAAGACTGCACTGTGAACCAGTTTGCAGAGACCTCTTCTTCTGAGGGTGCCCGTGAGCCTACCAGGCTGAGGCCAAAGTGGGGCTCAACAGTGACGGCCATGAGGGCCAGCCTCAGAGCCGCCATACCAAAGTCACAGTTGTGCAGATATTAGGGACATCCCTAGAGCCAAGGTCAAGAATTAGGAGTTAAGAAGAAAGACCAGCTGCATCTGCAGAAGCGGGGGCCTGCCGTAAGCCCTAAAATGTGACTCCTCACATGATCCCACTGTGATCGCTGCGTGGGTGGAGCTTGCAGCCAGCTCTCCAGCTCTGAGGTACACGGTTTACAGAGCAGCCAAGGAACACCACTACACCAGGACTATAGCCAGTCCACAGAGGCCCGGGCCACCTGTCTCCTGGGCTTTTCCAATTCATGTGGAGGATGGAAGAGGGAGAAAGCAGCCCCTTGTTGTCTCAGGTGAGTCAGCATCTGATGGTCTAGTTCAGGATGAAGATGTTTCTTGGCCCTAAGGTCTTCCAGGAGGCCCCTGGACCAGGTTATAGTCAACCTGACTCCTGGTCCCACCCCCAGTCTAGTTGTGTGCTGGGATTTGTCATTAAGTGGATGCCAGTGGGTGACCCTCACAGATTGAGGTAGGGCTTCACTACTCCGATGACTACACCTCCTGTAGGTCTGAAAGAAACTCTGGCGTTGGGCTGGAGAGTAGAAAAATGCAAATGTCCTTTGAAGTTGAATGTGGGTTCCACGGCCTCAGACAGTCTTACTGCTGCCAAGTGGGCTCCAGAAGGCTGTCCTTCTGCTCTGACAGACTCTGGCTGACAAATAGCCTTCACATATTCTGCTCCAAACTCGGGGTGAAAGAGTCACTTGGGCAGCTGGACTAGCACATGTGGAAGGGATCGCTTCTCCCTGGTGGGACTGACTGAGATGGGTTGGGACCCTTGCCTAGACACCTGGTTGTAGCCTCTTCCAAGTGAAACTGTCCTTGGGGAAAAAAAAACAGGTGGTGGCATACACCTTTAAACCCAGCACTTGGGAGGCAGAGGCAGGAGGACCTCTACAAGGTCAAAGCCAGCCTGGTCTACAAAGTGAGTTTCAGGACAGCCAAGGCTACACAGAGAAACCCTGTCTCAGACAGACAGACAGACAGACAGAAAGAAAGAAAGAAAGGAAGGAAGGAAGGAAGAAAGAAAGAAAGAAAGAAAGAAAGAAAGAAAGAAAGAAAGAAAGGCCAGGTCACAAGTGGTATTTCCCCACCTCCCTGTAGATGCTCTCTGTCTCTGTCTCTCTCTGTATCTGTATCTCTGTCTGTCTGTCTGTCTGTCTGTCTGTCTGTCTGTCTGTCTGTCTCTCTCTCTCTCTCTCTCTCTCCTGTCTACCTGCTCAGCTGAGCTGCCTACCGGAGGGCAGTGGTGTTTTCCTCGCCTCCTCTTAATTGCTGCCCAGTCTACTGGCTGCCCCTCCCCTTGCTCAGAAAGCCGGGCAGGCAGGACTCCCACAGCCCATCCCTGTATCCTCCATGCTAGGTCCAGCACAGTGTCCATACATGGCCTAGGTTCAGTTGGTGGGTCCCGAGAAGATGCAGAGAAATCAAGGTTGGTTTCACAGAGGAGGATGAAGGTGAAGGTGTGGGGGCGGGACGGGGATGTCACAGGATCAGTTTCTCTGTCCCAGGCAGCCTGCCCTTCTGGCTTGGGTGGGAAAGTCCCTCCTGTGACTGGACAAAGTCACTGCTGGGTCACTGCAGACCGATTCAAACAAAGAGACCATTCCAAATGCAGGAGAAGCAGAGCTACCTGCCACTGTTGTGTCCTGTGGGAAGAACAGAAATCCTTACCCATGAATGTCAAGCCCCCTTGGGGGAGACCATAGCGGGATAGCGGGTCCCTCTTTCACAAGGGTGTGGAAGAAATGAAGTGTGTATATCTTTTTTTTTTTTTTTGGTTTTTCGAGACAGGGTTTCTCTGTATTGTTTGGGAGACTGTCCTGGAGCTCACTCTGTAGACCAGGCTGGCCTGGAACTCACAGAGATCCTCCTGCCTCTGCCTCCCAAGTGCTGGGATTAAAGGTGTGTGCCACCAACGCCCGGTAGGAAGTGGGTATATCTCTTAAGTGCTGTCCTGCCCAGTCTTCACCATACACCTTCCAGAGTGCGGCCACTACACTGTCCTAAAGGAGGCTGACCTCATAGCTACCAGGGCAGACAGTGAGCTAGACGTCCTCACCGCCCTTCTGCTCCTTGCCTAAGCAGGATGAGGCCACAAGTTCCCAGGCCCCTCACTATCCAATTCTTCAAGTCTTTGCTTCCTCCACAAGCTTCCTCTAAGCCCACCCCCTCCTCTTAGTGCCTCTCTAGCGAGACCTCTCCCTTGCTGGATGTCACATAGTCCGAGTGGCTCACCAATGCACCTTTTTTTTTTGTTGTTTTGTTTTGTTTTTTTGTTTTTCGAGACAGGGTTTCTCTGTGGCTTTGGAGGCTGTCCTGGAGCTCACTTTGTAGACCAGGCTGGCCTCGAACTCACAGAGATCCGCCTGCCTCTGCCTCCCGAGTGCTGGGATTAAAGGCGTGCGCCACCAACGCCCGGCCCAATGCACCCTTTTAAGTTTTCTTTCCATCTGCAGGATACCGCTGGCCAGGAGCAGCCACTCACTAGGAACAGTCCACATACTCCAAACATCCCGGGTCCAGCACTTTGGGAGGATCAGGTAGGGACCTGGGGCTGCAGATGCTGTCCTGTGGCAGAGCACCAGGCCCGGAGGAAAGGCCAGGCCTCCTCTCTCCCACTTTCCACAGGAGGGAGCTGTGTCAAGTATCTGACTTTCCTCTCCAACTTCTTCTTCTCCCTGCTGGCCGTATTGGCCCTGGCAGCAGGGCTCTGGGGCCTGGCCGTCAAACAGTCTCCGGAGAGTGGCTGGGATGGAGCCCTGCCCACAGACCCCATGTTGGTGCTGGTGCTGGGAGGCCTGGTGGTCAGTGTCGTGAGCCTGTCTGGATGTCTGGGCGCTCTCTGCAAGAACAGATGCCTACTGCACTTCTACTGTGGAGCTGTCCTCCTCTGCCTAGCATTGGAAGCCCTGGCAGGGACTCTGGTGGTGGCCCTCTGGGGCCCACTGCAGGATGGCCTGAAGTATTCCCTGCATGTGGCCATCGTCCGCTACCGGGATGACCCAGACCTATGCTTCCTCCTCGACCAAGTCCAGCTGGGGCTGCAATGCTGTGGGGCAGTTTCCTACCAGGACTGGCAACAGAATCTGTGAGTGTCCCCCATACTCGACACAGGGCAAGAGAAGGGGTGGTCTGGATGCCCTGCTCACTCACTGGAGCATGCGTGTGCGTATACATGTGCATGTTCTTTTTTTGTTTGTTTGTTTGTGTTTTTTGTTTTTTGAGACAGGGTTTCTCTGTATTGTTCTGGAGGCTGTCCTGGAACTCGCACTGTAGACCAGGCTGGCCTCGAACTCACAGAGATCCGCTTGCCTCTGCCTCCCGAGTGCTGGGATTAAAGGTGTGCGCCACCAACGCCCGGCACGTGTGCATGTTCTTGTGTGCACACAACCACATGCCTTGCAGCTCCTGCCTCCACAGACCCCCACACAAGTTTCCCTGTGTGAGCACGCTCGTAGATCCCTTTTATGTCAACACAGAACGAGGTCTCATGCCAAAGCACACACACATCACATGTATACAGACAGACATGCAAATGCGTGCACTTATTCGTGAGGTGTGTGTGGCGCTTGCCTTTGCCTATGCTATGGGCCTTGAACCTGATTGAACTCAACCTTTGGCCAACTCTAGGGCCCAGACACAGCTCCTCCATGCTGTCCCTCCACTAGGAGGTTCTGGTTTTGTTTTGTTTTTTCCGAGACAGGGTTTCTCTGTGGCTTTGGAGGCTGTCCTGGAACTAGCTCTTGTAGACCAGGCTGGCCTCGAACTCACAGAGATCCACCTGCCTCTGCCTCCCAAGTGCTGGGATTAAAGGCGTGCGCCACCAACGCCCAGCTCCACTAGGGGGTTCTAAAGAAGAGGTCATCTGGAAGAGCAGTTAGTGTTCTTAACCTCTAAGCCAACTCTCCAGCCCATGACACAATATTTTATGTTCTGCTCGAGGGTCCCTGTGTTGTCTACCTCCTCCAACACACGGAACACTCTGAGCAGCTCCTTTCCTCCCTGTGACATGCAGGGTAAACATTATGCTCCCTCCTCAAGCCTCTGAGGACAATTGATGTCCAGGGATGGACACAGAAGAGGCTCTAAAAACTGGTCATTTGTTCCTGACATGGCTCCAATATATGGCGCCTACCATTGCTCCTGAAACCTTGCAAAGCACTCCCCAGTTTCTAGGAGAACCCAGCCACAGAGAGTGCACTCTGTTGGTGGTTGTCAGGGCTTGGTGAGTGAAGTCTAGACCTGTGGAAAACTACAACTGAGGCTCCTTAGCCTCCAGGGGCTCCTCATGGTTCTGAGCCTTTTGCCGCTAACCACTAACAACACCCCTTCTTATTGCAGCCTCCCTCTCTGACACTGCCCGTTCAAATAAACGCACAGTGTGCAGGAGGCAAGGCCTCCTTATCGCCTCTCCTTCAACCACCTCACTAAATATTTCCTTGACCTGCCAAGGTAGACACCCCACTCCACCCCCATCCTCCTGTCCTCAAGTATAGAGAGGTGTAAGCACTGTGATACAAAGAAACTGAGTGTCAAGCCAGACAGTGGTGGCACACGCCTTTAATCCCAGCACTCGGGAGGCAGAGGCAGGCGGGTCTCTGTGAGTTCAAGGCCAGCCTGGCCTACAGAGCGGGTTCCAGGACAGCCTCCAAAGCTACAGAGAAACCCTGTCTGGGAAAAACAAACAAACAAACAAACACAAAAAAACAACTGGGTGTCCTGTATGTGTTTGTGTGTTTGCGCGTGTATGCATGTGCTCCTTCATATGCATGCAAGCATGTGTGAGTGCATGCCTGAGTGCATGTGCGTGAGTGCGAGAGAGCGAGAGAGCGAGGGAGCAAGAGAGCGAGAGAGCGAGAGAGCGAGAGAGCGAGGGAGCGAGAGAGCGAGAGAGCGAGAGAGCGAGAGAGAGAGAGAGAGAGAGAGAGAGAGAGAGAGAGAGAGAGAGAGAGAGAGAGAGAGAGAGAGAGAGAGAGAGAGAGAGAGAGAGAGAGAGAGAGAGAGTTTGAAGGCAGGCCTCTTCTCCAGGACTAAACCTTGTATGCCCTGCAGGTACTTTAACTGCAGCTCTCCCGGGGTACAAGCCTGCAGCCTTCCTGCCTCCTGCTGCATCGACCCCCAGGAAGAAGGAGCTTTGGTGAACACTCAGTGTGGCTTTGGGGTGTTGCGCCTGGACCCAGATGCAGCTGGACAAGTAGTATACCTGCAGGGCTGCTGGCCCGTGCTGCAACAGTGGCTGCGAGGGAGCATGCAGACCATAGGCAGCTGTGCCGTCACTGTCGTCATGATTCAAGGGACTGAACTCCTGTTAGCTGCCTGCCTGCTAAGGGCCCTAGCTGTCCAAAAGGCAGCAGCAGAGGACACAGAGCCCGACCCTCTGTGACGTGCCAGCACCATTGTCCCCCCCACTGAGCAGAGTTGAGAAGACTCTGTCACAGGCCAAGTTCCAGGCCTCTCATCTTCCAGGGACAGTATCAGAGTAACTCTCCATGGGACAGACACCTGGACTCCACTCCTGGCCATTGCCCCTTTGATACAGCTGTCAGTCCCCAAGGCCACCTAGACTGACTGTGCTGCCCTGATTTCACAATTTCACTCCTGGTTTCTCAGGACCCGTCTCAGCCCCATGGCTGGCTTTTGCAAAGGCTACGGTGGTAGTCTGTACCTGAGTGCACCTGCTTCCCATTAGGCTGACAGAAAGAGGAGGGCTGAGGGTTCCTGTTTCCAGCCTCAGTCACCTACCCTGATCTGACTTACCCTGACTGGCTCTAGATCCCCATTTCCGCAGGACTGGCTTCCTATAGGCCTCCTCCTGCTTTCTGGTCTTAGTTGAGATGTGAGGTATGACCTAGGCCACACCCTGTAGAAAGCTTTTTTTTATTTTTGGTAGGAGGAAGACTTATTTATTGGTGTGTGCATTCATGTTTGCAGAGTAAACTACAGATCTCTCAATGACTGGGACTGTCTTCCTCAAATAAAAATGGAGAGCGCAGCTGTGACTCATCTGTAAAGTTAGCAGGGTCGATCTGTGGCCGTCTCGTAAGTGGAGTCTTATTCTTTTCTAGTCCTTCTTCTTCAGATAGAGCCTCATGTGTTGCAGACTGGCCTTGAATTCCCTATGGAGCCAAGGATGACCTTCACCCTCCTGCCTCCTGCTCACAAGGCTGGAATTACAGCCCTGCACCAAAATACCCAGCACATAGGGCCCTTCTGAAAGCCATTTTCTGGCCATTCAAAGGGATAAACATACATTTATCCTAAGAATTGTGGGTGCTTCAGGGTGAGCTTGCCCAGGTGTGAGCCTATATGCCTTACCTCTATGTGCGGAATCCTCAGATTACTGGGGGTGCCCAGTCTTAGGATGGACTGGCTGGGCCATGGGGCTCCTCTTAGGTGACTGTGTTTAGGTTTCTTTTTTTTTTTTTTTTTTTTTTTTTTTTGGTTTTTCAAGACAGGGTTTCTCTGTGGCTTTGGAGGCTGTCCTGGAACTCGCTCTGTAGACCAGGCTGGCCTCGAACTCACAGAGATCCGCCTGCCTCTGCCTCCCGAGTGCTGGGATTAAAGGCGTGCGCCACCAACGCCCGGCTGTGTTTAGGTTTCTAGTTTTTGGCCTTTCCTACCTTCTTAGAGAGTCTGCTTCATTAGCTATGGCCACCAGGAGTGAGGGTCAGAGCCGGGCTTCCATCCAGAGCCTCTGCGAAGTATGTGATCAGAACCTCTGTGGAGTGTGTGTGTTCAACGGGAGATTTTTTTTAAATCATTTATTTTATGTACATCTGTGTTTTGCCTGCATGAATGCATTTTGCCTGCATGAATGTCTTTAGGAAGGTATTGGATGCCCTGGAACAGGAGTTACAGACAGTTGTGAGCTGCCGTGTGGGCACTGGGAATTGAACCCGGGGTCCTTTGGAAAAGCAGCCAGTGCTCTTAACTACTGAGCCAACGGGCGTTGGTGGCACACACCTTTAGTCCCAGCACTTGGGAGGCAGAGGCAGGCAGATTTCTGTGAGTTCGAGGCCATCCGGGACAGCCTCCAAAACAATACAGAGAAACCCTGTCTCGAAAAACAAAAAGTAAACAAACAAACCACTGAGCCATCTCCCCAGCCCGTCAATGGGGGTTTCCTACTTCTCTTTCCTGCCAGTGTCTCCTACTCCCACCTGCCCTGAACCTTCCTCCATGGGGCAGATAAAGCAGCCCTACCGTAGATGGAGTACTCCATCAGTGAACCCCAGGTAAGCAAGGGCACGCTAATTTTATTTTGAAATAGGGACAAGGGACAGAGTATGTAGGGAAGGCTGGCATAATGGGGGGAACAGCCTCAGTGTCTCTCGCCACGTCACCCCAGGACAGTGTCCCAATCCAAGACACCCATCCGGAAGGGCTGCAGGGCAGAGGAACATTCTCATGACAGTAGGCAGTTCAGGGAAACATTATTGGAGAGTCCATTCCTGCATTCCAGCTACAAGAGGGTCAGGTTCCCCCCTCCCTTCTTCCTCCTGAGCAGTGACTTCAGGGTCAGCAGAGCATCCTGCAGGAGGCTGGGGGGCTCTTGGTAGCTGGTGTCAGGGTGTGAAGTTGTCCCACCCGGAGGCCAGGGGCAACCTAGCTAGGGACTCAGGCTTGGGTTTGGGAAGGGGTCCTGGACAGGGCTTACAGAGGGTGGTGGGGTAGAGTGGATCTTCATCAGGCCTCTTCCACAGAGATTGACTAAATGATGCCGTACTGGGCCAGCTCATGCAGCTCCAGGTGGTTGAAGGCCTCCCAAGGGCAGATGACAGTGATGTCTGCAGGAAAGGTGGGATTAAAGAGGACTCCATGGCCCCGGGACCACCCCCATTCCTGTCCCCTTGCTTTTTCACTCCCCACATAAAAATCCATGCCTCCCTAGGATGAGAGCTTAAACTCTGACTGCAAATCTTCCTCCTAAGGAGGGGTCCTGCCTCCAGTTGAGAAGAAAGTGGAAAGACCAGGGGCTGAAGGGAAAAATGCAGGAAGGAGCAGCAAACAAGTTTCTTCTGTGCTTTCGAGAACCTACCCCACGGGAACCACCCCTCAATGGGGTCTGAAGTCTGATGTTGGGAGACAAACAGGGGACTAGGATGGGAGGCAGTGAAGAGAGGAACCTGGGAGCTGTGGGAGTGTATCTGAGGGATGTAGCGGACTTAGGAGGGCTGTCCACATGCAACAACCCTGAGTCGCCATACCTGTTCCCAGGCCTTCCATTCCAGGGATGTCATCCCCAAACCTGCAAGGACAGAGTGGTCAAGGACGCTGTCTCCAGGTATAGACCTAGCCACCGCTGCATACCAGACTTCCTCCCCAACATCTGCTCCTGGGCAGGGTCTGGGCTCCCTTCCGCCAGCATGGGGCTAGTTAAGGGAAGAGTGAGCCCAGGGTACCCAGTGTTCCTGGGTGGGTATGGGCTGCGCCTCTCTGCAGCCGCGTGGCATGGAGCGTGTGAGTGAGTGTGAGGGTGCCGTGTGTGTGTGTGTGTGTGTGTGTGTGTGTGTGTGTGTGTCTCAATGTGCCGGCTGTGGTGTGTCCCACATGCTGGGACACATGCTGGGAACTAGTCTCCTGGTGTGGTGTGCAACAGTATTGAGAGGCGGTGTGTCTTCAGGAGGGATGCCAAGCAGAGCGTGACTGGACCACAAGGGAACATGACCGTGGGCTGGTGCTGTTGTTGGACAGGGTGACAACTCCACAGACGTGGTGGCTGTGAGGGAAAGGCTGGCTCCTCCCTGCTTTCTATGTTTCGAGATGGGGGTTTCTCTCTGTGTAGCTTTGTAGACCAGGCCGACCTCGAACTCACAGAGATCCACCTGCCTCTGCCTCCCGAGGGCTGGGATCAAAGGTGCGCGTCACCAACACCTGGCTGCTGTTTTCTCTGCCTACAGACGATGTCTGTTTTTACAGCACTCTGCCATGACACCATCCTCTAGGTTGTGATATAGTCACAGGGTCTTTACCAGAGTCCAAAACAAACCGTGCACACAATAAATCCTCTCTGCACAAAGTATCCGTGTCCCGTTATTTTGTCATAACAACAGAAAATTGGTTAAGGTGATGTCTGTTAAGTGTTCACAGGTGAATATGGTGGGGGTGCACACATATCCCTGAGGAGATTCGGGTGGCCTGCTTTCCAGACCTGCCTGGCTACATGCAGCACCTGGTGTAAATAGTAGGTCCCTGGCTCCCCAAAACCAGCTCCTGGGTCCCCCCCATTCATCAGAACGAAGACAAACTGCTGCAAGGAACCATGGGTGGAGCCCAACCCCAGCCTCCACCTTGTCCTCCCAGGAAGCCCGGGAGGAGTGTTCCTTCTGTGAAAGGTTCCCCTCCGCTGTTTGCTTACCCTTGGACGCCCTTCTTGGGGGGCTTGCTCTTGAACTGCCTGGTTTGCCGTTGCTTGAACTTAGGTGGTCCTTTCCTGGGGGTGACCGGTCCTCCTATAACCCGTGTGGCTGACCGGATCTCGGCCTTGGGTGGCTCCAGGTTCATGGTGAGGGTGGCAGAGACACAGCAGTGACCCTTAGCTTCTGGACTCGGTCAGGCTGGGCTGGACTCCTCATGCAGGCTGGGGCAGACCAGACAGATGAGGGATCCCCATTAGCCCTTGCTCTTCCCTGCCAACCTTAGGAGCAGAGGGCCTGACACCCAGGAGCCACCCTGAGACAGCTGTCTCCACTGCAGGGAGCCCACCCGGGCTTCCCCGCATTCTCTCCTGGCACCATCAGGCACCTCCCACTGGTAGCAGCCTCAAGCCACTTACGAACTCCCTTGTGCCCATCCCATACTCCTGACTCACATCAAACACACCCTTTTTGCTGCCCCCACCACCACATCACAAACCAGGGATTTTTTTTTTTTTACGAGACAGGGTTTCTCTGTATTGTTTTGGAGGCTGTCGGTCCAGCCTGGCCTCGAACTCACAGAGATCCGCCTGCCTCTGCCTCCCGAGTGCTGGGATTAAAGGCGTGCGCCACCACTGCCTGGCACCAGGGCTTTTTACTACCTCCCCTTGGACACCCTTGATGCCTGCGCCCTCCCTCCTTCTCATCCCCCGGAATCTGACCCAGCCATGCCACTCTGTGGAAAGCCTTCTGAGGACTCCTGGGATTGGCAAACAAAAGGACACCCCTTCTTGATCCTGCAAGCGATTTCCCCACAGCCTCTCACCATCTCTTCCAAGTGAGCAGCCCTGGCTGCTGTCACTGGTGGCGGGTCCCTTCTCAGGAAGGCCTCCGCGGACTCTACCTCATGTCATTCTACGTTCCCAGGTCCTAGTTTATTTCTTTTTAAAATTTTTTTTTGGTTTCTTTCAAGACAGGGTTTCTCTGTATTGCTTTGGAGGCTGCCCTGATTCTCGCTCTGGAGACCAGGGTGGCCTCGAACTCACAGAGATCCACCTGCCTCTGCCTTAATTTATTTCTTCATATCACATTCTGGCTAAATTCCTCATTTATTTACATGCCCCTTTAAGTATGTTTGTTCTTGTTTATGTACTTGCTGGTTTGACTTATTATCTTCCCCTTGGGGTTGGACTTGGTGCTGATAAAATGGTGCACAGAGGCCCCAAGGAAGGGGTCTGTCTTTGACCCAGAAACCGTTAAGCTGGGTGCCCCTCACTTTCAGGGCTCCATTTCAGAGGGTGGAGCCAGAGGCAGGTCTCAGGGAGAGCAGTTACCCTGGGATTCTTCCCTTAGGCTGCTCACCGGCTTGGAGATTGTCCTTGGTTACATATCACCTGAGGACTCTGCCGTCCTGTATCAGGCCACAACCTAGGGCACACTATACACGATGGTCCCTCCTCCTCTCCCTAAGAGCCCTAAGCCCCAGCGACTTTGCCAAGGACAGCACAGCTTTCTGAAATCCTCTTAGCACCTGAAGGAGACTCCTAATCTCCCAGAGTTTCTAGGAAGCTGCATAAACCTCACATGCTGCTGAATAAGGGTGATGCAGACAGGAGGTGCTGCCCCGACCCTTAGGTGTCCAAGGGACTGCCTCTTAGAGGCTCCTTTCTGTCCTCAGTCCTACGTGGTATAGCGCTGATCCAGCCTTAAGCCACTGTCAGTGTTCTGCTGGATCATCAGGGCTGAGATAGTCAGTAGACAAGGACAAGTCTGTTGTAGGCAACGTCCACAAGAATCTCAGCAGCTCCCCCTACCCTTCCTAGGTTCTGCCTTTGCCCCTGAAGCCAGCACCAGCCTCGGAACCTGGACTCAGTATTCAAGCGTCTGTATTGGCCTGCCCTTGGGGTTCTGACATGATACGCCCTCAGCTGCAGCCACTAAGAGCACCTTCTATGCACATTCACTATGTTCCCTTTTAAAAGGGCCCTGCCCACCTCCCATCCTCTCTCTCTCTCTCTCTCTCTCTCTCTCTCTCTCTCTCTCTCTCTCTCTCTCTTCTTGTCTCTCCACTCTCTTCTCTTCTGCTGCTCCTGCTCCCAGAGGCCATGCTCCCCACTCCCTTCCCCCCTTTTCCCATTCACTTTCCCCTAATTGAAAAAAAAAACCTCATCCACGTGAGCTCTGTTGAGTGGCATCATCTTTCTCTCTCCTGCCGCTTTTTAAATTACTACACTCAGGCTGCTCAGTCCTGAGGCACCCATCCCTTACTTCCCAGTGGTAAAACATGTCTCTAACCAAAGGCCATGAACCCCCCCCCAACAGAGCTCCGGTGATCAGTGCTGTCTCCGTGGAAACCATGCCTGAGAAGCCTAACCCAGACTGATCTGAAGCTGGCGCCATTCAGTTGTATGATCGGGTGGCTGGCCTTGGAAACAGGCACTACCGTTTGACATTGTGAGGAAGCGGAGGAGGTGGCTGGCAGGATGTCCTCTTCCAAGGACAGGGAAAGGGGACAAGCTTCTAAAGACTCAGAGCTCTGCAGAGGTGGTGAAAGCCTGTTGGCTTCCCCTGACCCCCAACTCTGAACCAGCAGACTCCTGGCTGTCAGAAAGGGCAACAAGAGGTGTCACTACTCACCAAGCACTGGACAGGTCTCAGGGAGCCACAGGTTCCCGTTAGCTGGCCTGGGTCAACAGAACTGTGGCCTAGGAATTTATCCCCCTCCTGGTGAGCGGATTATGTCTCTCTTCTCTGACGCTACACTAATGAGATTGCCGGGCCTTGATGGAGCCACTGGGGATGCTGGGGGTGGGCAGGAGGGGTTCAGGTGCAGCCAAGGCGGAGAAACTCTGGAAAACCAACTGTCTTGTGAACCTCTTTTCAGGAGGACATGTTTCAATCCAGAGTAAAGAACTACACCAATGTCTGGGACCTAGCAGGTGCTGTCACCATTGTCGTGTTTATCTGGGCCCAGCCTCTGCTGAGTCCTTCGGATGACACATATTATCTGTCCAAGATGTCAGTCTGAAATGTGACCTGTCACCCACTAGCAGAGTGCCCCTGCTCTCTCTGGTCTTAGTTTTGTCACAGGTTTAGTAAGACACTAAACATGGAAAAAGCCCTATTTATCAGCTCAAACCCAACAGGAAGTCACTCTATAATCCTAGCTTTCCCCTTAAACAAAGTAGGTGGGACACATACATTTTTTTTTAAAAAGCCTGTGTTTTATTTATTTTTTTTAATTTATTTATTTATGACATACAGTTTGTCTACATGCCAGAAGAGGGCACCAGATTGAATTGTAGATGGTTGCGAGCCACCATGTGGTTGCTGGGAATTGAACTCAGGACCTCTGGAAGAGCAGTCAGTGCTCTTAACCTCTGAGCCACCTCTCCAGCCCCGGGACACATACATTTAACCTCAGTCCTTGCCGCTGGTTCTGGGGCTTGATGCCCCAACTGCCTTGGTTTCTAGCAGTGCTCACAACTCTAAGAGATGACCCTAAATTACCACATGGTTTAAAGAACATCTCCCCAGGACCCAGCAGGAGACAGGGAGCAGCTAGGCCCCTCCTACATGATGGTCCTCATTTATCACACAGATGGGAACCAGAGTTTACGGTCAGCAGGACATCACAGGTACACGGGGGCCTGGAGGTGCTCCTGTCACAGAATATTCAGGGAGACAGGGGTTTTGGTTCATTTTCATGGGTGAGGAAAGCTGGGACAAACAGCCAGCCTATGTATGCTTTATTTGACAACACAGGCAGAAAGACAACACAATTGGGTTGTCACAGAGAATTTATTTGGAGGTGAAGCTGTTATATGGTAATTCCTATACCTGGCAGATATGTGGAGTTTTCCAGACGCAAGAACAAAGGTGGCCCTGCTGCTTCTTAGGGGCAGCTTCTGTCCATGGCAAGGAGTCCCAGGTAAACTGGCTCAGCCTCCACTTTGCATGCGGAGCCGGATCTCCATTCTGAGGAAGGCCTTGAGGTTCTCGTCAGTTACATGTTCCTCTAGGACGGCCAGGGCCTGCTGCCCACCGTCCTGGTAGTGCCTCAGCAGGGCGTCTGCATAATCTACCCACACGCAGTTAGGACAGCCACTCATGCAGCAGTTCGTTGGAGGCTGGAGCTCGGGTGACAGAGAGCACGGGGGTCTTATGAGGTTCTCGGGGGGCGGGGAGGCCTTTGGATCCCTGTCATCCTTTGCACCTGCTTGGAAACCTTCCTCCCTGTGGTCCATCCCCAACGTTCGGCAGCTAACCGTGGCTTGCGCGGGAGCCTGGTGTCCGTGAGGAACACTGTGTCTTCCTCGGGGAAGACCCTGCCAGCAGTCCCAGCTGGAGAACTGTTGTGTCCCCTGCGAACATGGGATACTCAGTGTGACTCTTCCGGGAAGCTGTTAAGGCACTGGGGAATGTTCACCCTTCCTAGCACTGGACCAGTGGCTCAACGTCCTTCTCAGCCTGCTCCCTTCCTGCAGGACCGTGGACAAGTTACTGTATTTCACTTCTGTATACTGTTTCCCTGTCTGTGAAATGGGCGTGTAGGTTGGTATGAGAGGAAACTTGCTAAGGGCCTGTTTCGGTGTCAGGCACTGGGCCTGAGCTCCAAACGACTGCAAGGGGAACAGCTCTAGATCAGACTACTGGATAGATGTCTGATTCTGGACAGGATGAGGGGACGGTCACAGAGCCAGCTGACCCTCATCGGCCAGTTTTAAGTAAGCTCGCCTCCTCTGGCCATGCTAACTATCCGCATCGGCCTGAGTCCTGCATCTTCCATCAATCACTTCACAGGACAAGCTCAAAGTATATCGGGTCACCCCATTCTCCGTCTCTAACGCCTCAGAGACCCTTGGGTCTGATGCTCACCCGTGACGATGGTCACTAGCTGGGACTCTTGCAATGAATGTGTTTGCCCACTAACTCATCTGGGGCCCCAACCTGTAGAAACCTCAGTGAGCGCGCTGACCGTGACTCCTCCTAGGGTTGGCTGGCCTCTCGGACACCTTGGGACACCCCGGCTGCGCGAAAGGCTTCCCGCACCCCGGCTGGGACGCTGCGGCCCGCTGGGCCCGCGAGTACTTGCCCAGGAACAGAGCGCAGCGCCCACCCGTCCTCCCCGGGCCAGGTTCTGCAGCAGAATCCCCATCGCCGGTGCAGACGCGGAGGCCAATGAGCTTGGGAAGGAGCGCAGGAAGCGGAAGTGATGCTCACGGGGCGGGGTCTTGCAAGAGGGCGGAAGTGGCTTCGTGCGTGGAGTTCCTGGAGTAACGATGGCTAGACCTGGGCGCGCAGCCGTGGCGACCTCCCGGTCTGCGGGTCTTAGAGGCCCCGGACAGCTGCACGCTCGACGGCAGCAGCAGTCGCACGGACAGCAGCGCTCTGCCTCATGGCCGGGACAGCGCAGGTGGGTGTGATCCCCGGGACAGGACCCAGTTGGGAGCTTTTCTACCTGAATCAGCCCGGGTGCACGCTCAGCCATGTGTTGAATGAACGGAGCTGAGTGTCTCAAGTTTCTCGTGAGGCCATGAGGTACGAGGTCGTGGCTGCCGCCTGCTTGGGTTTTCGTAGTTCCTTTTGCCTTGGCATGCTGAGAAAATCCAGTCCAAGGCAGCCTGGGTCAAGGGTGAGGCGAGGACCCCTCTGTATGTTCATGGACTCTGCACCGCTCCTTTTTTTTTTTTTTTTGGTTTTTCGAGACAGGGTTTCTCTGTAACTTTGGAGGGTGTCCTGGAACTAGCTCTTGCTGACCAGGCTGGTCTCGAACTCACAGAGATCCGCCTGCCTCTGCCTCCTGAGCGCTGGGATTAAAGGCGTGCACCACCACAGCCCGTCTCCTTCACCGCTTCTTTACAGACGTAATGTTTGTTTCTGCTGTGTTGTACTAGGCAAGGGCCTCACTCCTGGGTTTATCTTTCCAGCAAAGAAAAGAAGAAAGTGAATTGCAAGCCCAAGAACCAGGATGAGCAAGAAATTCCTTTCCGGCTCCGAGAGATAATGAGGAGCCGACAGGAGATGAAAAAGCCGCTGAGTAACAAGAAGAGAAAGAAGGAGGGTATGTATGCATAACCCTTGCTAGACACCAGCCTACCACCTATGCCTGAACCCATCCAGTTGTCCAAATACTTAGAGGCAGGAGTGCAGAGTATGGGAATAGTTCACCGCGCTGCACTTTTGAGATTTTATTTTTAATTATGTACATGTAAGCGTGACTGGTAGGGAGGAATGTGCATGCAGTTGCTATAGGAGGTCAGGAGAGGATGCTGGATCCCCTGGAGCTGGGGTCATAGGCTTTGGTGCCCAATGTGGCTGCTGGGGAGCCAAACCCAAGTCCTTGAGGAGCATATGTCCTTTTTTAAATTTTTATTTTTATTTATTTATTTATTTTTGTTTTTACGAGACAGGGTTCCTCTGTATTGTTTTGGAGGCTGTCGGTCCAGCCCAGCCTCAAACTCACAGAGATCTGCCTGCCTCTGCCTCCCGAGTGCTGGGATTAAAGGCGTGCACCACCACCGCCCAGCCTTTTTTTAATTTTTAAAAAAAATTATTTATTATGTATACAGTGTTTTGCCTGTATGTATGCCTGCATGACAGAAGGGGCACCAGATCTCATTATGGATGGTTGGAAGCTACCTGGTGGGTGCTGGGAATTGAACTCAGGACCTCTGGAAGAGAAGCCAGTGCTCTTAACCTCTGAACCACCTCCCCAGCATGAGGAGTACATATTCTTAGTAGCTGAGCTATCTATCTCTCCAGTGTCACTTGTGTGTTTTTGTTTTTCGAGGCAAGGTTTCTCAGTGTAGCCCTGGCTGTCCTGGAACTCACTTGGTAGACCAGGCTAGCCTCAAAGTCAGAGATATCCTCCTGCCTCTGCCTCTGGAGTGTTGGGATTAAAGGCCATGTTTTGGTTTTGGCTTTGGTTTTTTGAGATAGGGTTTCTCTGTATAGCAGTCTTGGCTGTTCTGGAACTCGCTTTGTAGAAAAGTGCCAGTGGCCTTGAACTCACAGAGGTCCATCTGCCCCTCTGCCTCTTTAGTGCTAGGATTACAGGTGTTTGCCACCGTGCTGGATGCTCTGGTTTCTTTGTTCACCTGTGTGGGCAGTGGGCATCTTTTCGTGAGATCATATCTGTAGGGCTGCCCTGAACGGAATGCTGTAGATCTGCTCTGGTCTCCCTTTCTTGTGGCTGACGGAGGGGAAGTGGTCATGAGCTGCCTAACCTGTCACCAGCCTCTCTGACCTGAGCCTCGTCTTACACCTGCTCTGGGTGTCCTCTGTCCTCAGCCCAGGTGACTTTCAAGAAGACCTTGGAAAAGGAAGCAAAGGGAGAAGAGCCAGACATCGAGGTCCCCAAGTTCAAGCAGAGGAAGGGGGAGTCTGACGCGGCCTATGTCCATCGCATGGAGCAGGAGACCCAGCATGTGCTGTTCCTTAGCAAGAACCAGGCCGCTCGGCAGCCAGAGGTGCAGGAGGCTCCCAAGAAGGAGAAGTCTGAACGGAAGAAAGCGTGAGTTGAGCCTGGAGGCTTCTGGTGACAGGGAGAACTGGACAGGCAGGGGTCTTTGTCTGCCTTGGGCGCACTGCTGTAGAAATTGGGAAAGGACAAGCTTGGTGTCTGTCTGCTGTGGGGGAGCCTGCTGGGTGTTAAGATATTGTCCCAGTGGAACCACTCACCCTTGTGGAATGACCCAGGGGGGAGGAGGCTGTCACCTGCTCTGTACTGAGTTTGTCTCTGGTGTTCCCCTTGGCTTGAAAGAGACTTGAGTCTGTCTTCTTTGGGCAAGTTCTGTACCTTCTTGGCCCGGTGTCCTTGACTATAAAGAGGAGTTAATGCCACTGCCATGTTCAGTTGTGCTCTTGTGTCATCCATAGGGGTGGTGTCCAACCAGTAGAAGCATAGAGTCCCCCAACCTACTCTGTCACCTCCTGCTCCGGCTACCCCTGGCTTGTGTGCAGGCAAAAACATTTATTGTTTATTTAGATGCAATAATCACGGCTTTCAGAAAAGTCAGTCTGGGGTCTCTGTCTGTCTCTCTCCTCTTCTGCCTCTCTCCTCCCTCTTCTCTTTCTCTCTCTCTCCCTCTCCTCCCTCTCTTCTCTCTTTCCCATCTCCCTCTCCTCTCTCTCTCTCTTCTTTCTCCCCTCTCTCCTCTTTTCTCTCCTCCCTCTCCTGTCTCTCTTTCCTCTTCTCTCTTTCCATCCTCTCCTTTCTCCTCTCTCTCTTGCCTAAGTCTGTGCTTTCATCAAAGTTGAAGAAAAATTACAACCATGCATGGCGTCTCGTGCCTATCATTCCAGGATCCAGGAGCCTGAGGTTGGGGGCCTGCTGTGAGTTCAGACCAGAGAGGGCCAACAAGAATGGCTGCATTGCCTACTTTTCCTCTTCACTAGTACAGGGAACATGTGTCCTTTTATTCTTTCAAAGATGTGATCATACTGCTTTCTACTTTCTCCTAATATTATAGTCACATGAGCCAAAGCCCAGCCCAAAGCCACGGTAGTCTACAAATGCTCACAAAGAGGTGTAGTGTGTCACACATATGGTACTTTGCAAGGCCCTTTGATCCAGTCTCTGCTGCCATTCAGGATGGAGTGTGTTGTTGCAGGTGGCTGGCCCATGGGTCCCAGCGGTGTGGCCCTGTTCACCGTTAAGGCAGTTAGCCACGTCCTTGCCGTCCTTTCGACAACCTAAAGTTGTCTACACTTTGCATTGTTCCCTGGGGACCCTTGGGGAGCCTGCTGGATGCAGCTCTTGAGGGCAGGCTGGCCTCTGCTGCCCCTAAGATGGAACGAGAGCTTACAAGTCTGAGGAGCACGTGTTTTCTTCCCAGCTTCCAGAAGCGGCGACTTGAAAGAGCCCAGCAGAAAAAGGAGGCAAGAGCGGTGGACAGACTGGAGCAGGAGTTGCTGAAAGGTAGCTTTCCCACGGCAGCTGCAGTCCCCACAGGGCCCCTCCTCCCCCCTACACCTCCTTGGTGGCACCCCTGCGCTCTTCCAGGCTCACCACTAGGAGGCCAGTGGATGAGTAGGCTCTGAAGCCCTCAGAGGGAAGGTGGGTGGGTGGTGAGTCAGAAATGACACGGGCTCCATGGACGGCGGCCTCTGTTCACGCTCTTCGCAGACACTGTGGAGTTTGGAGAAGTTGTGCTGCAGCCCCCAGACCTGACAGTCCAGCCCAGAAGGAGCACAAGCAGAGATGCCGTACGTGGGGACCGCGGGATGCAGAGGGTGGGGATGGGCAAGGCCATTCCTGTTTCTGCTGGGGAGCAAGAATGTCCCGGCGGCCCAGGACCTTCTTACAGGGCTGTCAGCTTGCCGGGCCAGCAGAAGCCCTCTGCTGTCTTCTCCTAAGCTGAGCTTGTGCTACAACCTTCTCTCTCTTTTCTCAGCCTGGCAAGAAATCGCTAATGCTGAAGATGCTTTTGGGCGCTGGTGGTGTGTCCCCGACTCCATCCACCTCACTGGCCCGCCAGCGGATCCTGGGGGAAGAGCGGGAACGGGCTGTGCAGGCGTACAGAGCCCTGAAGAAGCTGCAGCGGCAGGAAGTGACGCTCGCACAGCCACCCGGCAGCTCTTCTCAGAGAAAGCGCCAGACTTGTCCATGACTCGGAGACCCAGGGGTCCAGTCCCCTGGAAACTGACCTGAAAAGGGGAAAGACCACAGATGCTCATCCCTGGATGGGGGCCTGAGCACACACTTTCTTTATGGGGCTGGGGTGCTTTTCTTTCCCTGCCCCCGAAAGATCATCCTTCTAAGAGTGACCACCAAGGAGTTCCATCTCTTACACGGCAAGTTCCCCCAAGACTTGCCTGAGACACGGATGGGACGGGTGGCTGGTGTTTTCCCTTTGCCTAGCTTCACTCCGAGACAAGTCTCAGGACCACCATAGAAAGGACTCAATCCCCTAATCCGGCTGATTACTGAAGCAGCTGATGTAGGTCAGCCTGTTGTCTTAAGAGGCTCCCCAGGGTTCAGTCCAGTGCTAAGCAGGTTAACAGGACAGTGGAAGAGCAGATACACCTAGGGCAGGTGTATCAGTCAGGTGGCTGGCAGTCAGCACTGTATTTGCCTGCTGGGGTCTGTACAAGAGACAAGAGCCCCAGTCTGTTTGGTTTGAATAGAGATGGGCTGTCAGTACTGGCTGAGCTCATTGAGGCATACACATAAAAACCAGATTTCAGTGATAGGAAGGGCAGAGTAGTGTCAAGAAAGCAGGTCCATGTCCTGCGTAACAGGCCTCTGGGAATAGGGCAGGCCTTCAGAAAGGACCAGGGATGGAATCTGGTTGAGTGTGTTTCCCATAGTACCAAAAGAGGGAGGACATGATGCTAGCTCCTGATGAGAGTGAGAAGTAGAGCTTGAGACTCATCCAACCTCCGGAGTGTGGTACTGCCCTATAATCCCGCACCTAGGAGGTAGAGGCAGAAGAATTGGGAGTTCAGTGCCAGTCTTAGTCATGAGACTTTTTAAAAAACAAAACAACTCAGCCGGGCAGTGGTGGCGCACACCTTTAATCCCAGCACTCAGGAGGCAGAGGCTGGTGGATCTCTGTGAGTTTGAGGCCAGCCTGGTTTACAGGGTGAGTTCCGTAACAGCCAGAGCTGTTAGAGAAACCCTGTCTTGAAAAACAAAAACCTCGTGTAGACATCAAATGAGCTAGGCTTGGGCCCTGCTGGGGAAGCACACAGCCTCTGGCAGACCTTCCAGGAGCTTCCTTCTAGCAAAGCAGCTTGGTGCCCACACGAAGTGCTTTCACTTGCTTTTCCAAATTTGTATTTTCCAGTGTGAAGTTTACTAACGTCTTGCTCTCTTTGAAGTCTGGACTGTGGCTCTCTGATCCAGGGACTGAATGCTTAGACACACGCACCAGTACAAGGGCCAGAAGCAAGCAAGTTGGATGCATTGGGAACTTGATTTCTCACTAAGCATCTGCCAGGGCCAAGAGCCACGGTTATTTGAGCTGTAGGCTTTTGTGTTCTTCTCAGAGGCAATGTAACTGTCCAATTAAGGCACAACTGGCCAATTCTGTAGCCAGCTAAACTGCATTAAAGAGCTCTGGCTAACCCTCCCTTAAAGAGGCCACACTTGCACACTTTGGGTATGTCTTTCTTTCTGTAACTTCTGTTAAAGAAGCCCACATCCAAGCCTTTATGTAAAAAAAGAAAAATGTATCGCATATTGAGTGTTCATGCAAATTGCCTGGAGGCCAGAAAAGGGCACCAGATCTCAATAGCTGTGAGCCGTGGTTGCTGGGAATTGAACTCAGCCTCTGGAAGGGCGGGCAGTGCTCGTAACCCTTGAGCCATCTCCAACTCCTAAGGTTTTTTTTTTTTGGTGCTTCTCTTCGTCTAAACACACTAAATAAACCCCAGCTCTGCTGTATTCCAAAAGGACTGTTTTCCTGCTCTGTGCTTATGCCTTTTCAGAAGGCTTAGACCTGATGATGGTGTGGTCCCTCCTTGAGTACAGTTTTCCCCTTCTCCTCACTTCAGTTGTGGAAGGGCACATCACAGCTCTTGCCTACTCCAAGGTCAGGCCTGGCCTTTGCTGCCATCTTGGACTCCTGACCTTCAGAGCAGCAGTCTTAAATATTGATAGGCTGGGGCATCGGCACTGTTAGATCAGTACTGACTAGGTACTGACACACATTGAAATTAGGCCTTGATGTTATGAAGGGCAGAATATCTCTGGGGTTCCCCAGACCTCTCCAACTTTGTGTCCTGGTTGAAAAGCAGGCACCTTGATATTAGTAACTCGGCTGCAGGTGCTTCTCAGCAGATTTGAGCTGAAATGAGGCTCACCACATTGATGCAATTGGTCAACTTACTAAGTGTTCTCTATTAAGCTGGTTTGGTGAAGTCCCACCAGAACGTCACCACCTTCTGTGTACCATCTGTACCTCTTATGTCCACCTGTGGAAACTCACAATACATATCATTGAGCAATAAAAGCTCACTGAGGGCTGGAGAGATGGCTCAGAGGTTAAGAGCACTGACTGTTCTTCCAGAGGTCCTGAGTTCAATTCCCAGCAACCATATGGTGGCTCACAACCACCTTGAATGAGATCTGGTGCCCTCTGCTGGCACACAAGCAGAAGATTGTATACATAATAAATAAATAAAATTAAAAAAAAAAAAAAAGCTCACTGAGCAAATGGACCATGAAGCCAGTCTTGTTTCTGGCGAGGTCGAGCCTCATCCTTTTGTCTTTTGAGACAGTGTTTGTGTAGCCCAGACTAGCCCATGCCTCTTGGGAAATACACTCTACACCCTCGTCTTTGTGAGATAAGTTGGGTTGTTCCTAACTCCTGAGCTCAAAAAATGATCCTTCCAGGAGCTGGAGAGGTGGCTCAAAGGTTAAGAGCACTGACTGCTCTTCCAGGAATCCTGAGTTCAATTCCCAGCAACCACATGGTGGCTCACAACCATCTACAAGTCAATCTGGTGCTCTCTTCTGGCAGAACACTGTATATGTAGTAAATAAATAAATCTTAAAAAAAAAAAAGATCTTTCCACTATGGTTTCTTGAGCAGATCAAGCCACAGGCCTGAACCACCACATCCTCCCTGGTTTTTGTTTGTCATTTGAGACACAATTCCTATTCATACTCCATTAATTTAATGGATTTTATAAATATAATAAAAAATTCATAATTTTCCTGGGGAACGCTGTCAGAATAATGGAAGCTCAGAAGGGCAGAGCTTGTACTACAAAAAAAAAAAAAAAAAGAGGAGCAGTACAGTCCAAAGCTCTCAAGCACAGGTCCAGAGTTTCCCGGTGGGAGTCCCAGCAGCACTCTGCAGGTCTGTCCTCTCCCAGCCCTCGGAACACTGTTCAGAGGCCAAATGGCCAGTGTCTGTACAGTGTGTGCTTGCTGACTGGTCACCGCACAGAATCCCTGTCCCTTAGGGATATACACTGGGTGGCTCTGCTTCTGCCAGCACAGACCCTTCAGAGGCTGTCATGGAGTCCTTTGTCTCCCAGGCACCGGGTGGGTGGGTCGGCCATGGTCCTCCATCTTGCAGTCAACCGCTGGATTTGTGTTGCTCCTGGAGCCAGAGCAGTACCGCCGCCAAGCCAGTGCCGTCCCTGGCACTTATTTCTGCTGTGGTAACCTTCTGCTTGGCACAAGCCATGATGTCTGGAAGCCTGATTAATGACTTCATTTCCTCCACAGTCATGTAACAGGGCAGGTCACTGTAGTTAAAGGGGCAACTTCATCATCAGAGGGTGACTTCTGCAGACTTGCCCTACCCGCAGCTGCACCCCCCACCCCCTCCCCTACTGTGGATCCCACGTTCCAGGCTTGGGGACCACCCCACCCTTCCTCTGCCCTAGACCCATACATTTTATTGAAGAGTATCAGGACCGAGGCTTTTGCAAGTTCTTCTGCAGAAAGGAGACCCAAGAGCAGCACGCAGGAAGCAGAGAGCTGGGTGGGGTTGGAGGCATCCATCACAAACTAGGGAAAGGGAAACAGACGCTAACAAGGTTCTCCTGACCCACCCTCCACCTGGGCATTGCACAAGTGGCTCAAGAAGAGCCTTTTATTTTATTTTGGTTTTTCGAGACAGGGTTTCTCTGTAGCTTTGGAGGCCATCCTGGAACTAGCTCCTGTTGACCAGGCTGGTCTCGAACTCACAGAGATCCACCTGCCTCTGCCTCCTGAGTGCTGGGATTAAAGGCGTGCACCACCAAAACGCCCAGTGCACAGAACCTTTTAAATTAAAGTGGTCATTTATGATGCTGGAGATTGAACCGTGTGGCTAGGCAAGCCATTTGCTGAGCTGCACACCCGGCCCCAGAGTGGCTTTTAAGCAAAAGGTTTTGGAAACGGGCAAAGGAGGTTGTATGAGGATGGCTTGGCGTCACTGGTGTCTTTTTAAGTACATAAAGTTCTCCATCCCCGGAATTTGGAGCCCCTTCCTTGTGGGGATGGGGGCAATCAGAGGGATGTGGGAATGTTGGACATATTCAGGTATCAAGGCATAGAACAAACAGTGCCTTCAGCCAGCCCTCCTGGAGCAGGAAACGCAGCCTACGTCTGTTCTGTTTCCCTAAGCACAGCCAGCAAAGACCCCACCAAACCCGGGCCCATCATACAGATCAGGGTCTGCTACTCGACGACTCAGGGAGACAGACACACTGCTCCCTCAAGAAGCTCCAAGGACTGACTCACCAGGAGCGAATGGCAGTTTCCATAGTAACTGGACCAGATGGGGCTCATGCAACCCCCGAGCTCCCGGATGGTGATCTTCCTATGGGCCACGATGTCAGTGAGGTTGGTGCCCACCTGTGGGGAAAAAAACAAAAACAGGACGCACTGACAGCAGCGTAAGCGCAGTACCTGGACTGCAGCTCCGCGATGGGGGTGGGTGTGATAATTAGTGACAACCTTCCAAGCCCTTCAGCAGAGCTCGCCACCAAGAAAACCAACTCTCTGGGGGGCTCCGGGCCACCAACGTCAATCACAGAGATGGACCCCGGGGGTGACAGCGAGATCAGTCCCTTGGGAGGGGAGAGAACAGTGCCCGCGGGAAGGCAGGCGCCGGGTTCTCCGCAGACCCAGCTGTTCGGCGTCGGAACTCCCGAACCGACCCACCGATCGCCGGCATCGCGGCTGCCACCCGGAAAAAGCCCGAGGCGCTTTGCAGGTCAGACCAGAGAGAGGAGGACACACCTACCGTGGGCCGCGTCGGCGGCGGATCCCCCAGGTCGCCCTTGCCGTCTCCGGAGCTCAGCTGTTCGGGCGGTCAAGGGCCTGAGTGCGGCGTAGGGCGGAGTCCCCGTCCCGAGTTAAGCCCGGTGTGTCCCCCGCCCTGCCAGCGCCCTCCCCTCCCGCCCGCCCACATGGTGCGGAAGGATATTCTGCAGGCGTTTCACCAGCAGGGTCTTGCCGACTCCCGCAGCCCCGAGCAGCAGACACATCCCCCGGTCCCGGCCAACGGGGCACCGGTACCTGGGAGCTACGACGCCGTGAGGCCCGCCCCCGCTGAGCTTTCATTGGATAGCCCTCTCTTCCAAGGCGTTCATTGGTTGGTCGAGCGGGCCAATGGTCGCTCAGAGTCAGCGAGCACGCGCAGAGGCTCGGCTTGGGGCCCCGATCTCGGGGTGGCGGGGAGACGTGCGCCTGCGCGAGCAGGGGAGGAGGGAGAAAAAAAAAAAGGAAAGGCGGAAGCGGAAGTCGGGGGGCGCGTCAGCTCCGAAAGAGGGAGCGCCCGCGGCGGCGTCGGTCCGGAGTGGGGTCGCCATGGGGCGAGGCAGCGGCACCTTCGAGCGTCTCCTAGGTAACGCGTCCTCCAGCCAGCTCGCCGTCCGCTCCCTCGCGGTCCCGCCGGACGCTGTCTCCGCAGGTCTCGGGGGAGCGGGCCGGCTGCTCGGACCGGCCGCCGGCCTCCCGGGATCCGGCACGACACCATTCCCGGGCCTCGGGTGTGGCCGCCGGGGCTGTGCATCACGTCCCCGGGGTCCAGTGAGGAATGCTCTTTGGGAGTCCCGCGATGGACCTCGCTTCCTCCGGGTCCGACGGCCCCGAACCGATTGGGCCAAAGTCCTGAGTCATGAAGTGTATGACTCAGATCTTAGCTTTACGCGGGTCGTTTGACCCTGATACCTGCTCGCAGGGTGTGGGATCGATAACTTTTGGGCCCCTTGGGGACGGCTTCCTAGGGCCCCAAGCCCGCCCCGCCCTGTTCATCCCTTGGGCTCTGGAACTGTCCCCGGGTTTTGGAAGACGTTTTCTCTCACTGTCGAAGGTGCTTGTTGATCCTGCTTGAGTCTCCTGGAGAGTGTCAGTTTTTAGGAGGGAAAAATGGGTTTGCCACGCATGCCCTGTTTCCTCGATAAAAATGTACTGTGTCCAGGAGTAAGCGCCAGGGTTGCCACCATAGCCTGCTCGTTTGCTTCTTTCTAAACTAAGGTTTTCAAAGGGGGTCGAAGAGGAAGCATTTTCCTTGCTGTCGCTTCTGGGGAGGTTCAGCACGGAGCTGGTGTGTCTTGGGAAGGCGCCAAGGGTGTGAGGAGTGTTCGCTAGGGAATCCTTGGACGTTGGTTTCGCCTCCTCCACTTGAAGTGGAGAGGTCATGGGTCCCCCATCTCTCTAGCACTTGCCCGGCTAAGAGCTCATATAAAGGACAAAACATCCGGATGATGGGACTCTGAGGGTCAGGTGACGCTGTTGAGAAGCAGCAGTGCTTGGCGTTTCGAAGTGCCCAGCAAGCTGTGATACAGGGCGTTCTCTTCCCTGGACTTGGTCTCCAAAGGGGATGGAGGTAGTACCTGTCTCATGAGGTCCTGTGGGTACTGAGTGAGTTTAGAGATTGAAATGACCGCCGATATGGAACAGGCACAGCAGCCATTAGTCCCCTCGATTTTCACACGATTTGCCTCCTGCATCGGAGGATGTCATTTCCACGATTGTAAATGTGCCTCAAGAGAATTTTCTGTTCAGTTAAGCCGGGTTTTGGTGGTGCACGCCTTTAATCCCAGCACTCAGGAGGAAGAGGCAGGCGGATCTCTGTGAGTTTGAGACCAACGTGGTCTACAGACCGAGTTCCAGGACAGCTTCCAAAACAAAACAGAGAGACCCTGTCTCAAAAAAGGGGGGGGGATTAGCTGGGCGGTGGTGGCGCACGCCTTTGATCCCAGCGCTCAGGAGGCAGAAGCAGGTGGATCCTTGTGATCCAGCCTGGTCTACAGAGCTACACAGAGACCCTGTCTTCAAAAAAAAGAAAAAAGGGGAATTGCTAACCAGGGAGCCATGGAGGAAACAGCACAATGGGCCCCCTTGAGTGACAGACTTCTCTCTCCTTTAGACAAAGCCACCAGCCAGCTTTTATTGGAGACGGACTGGGAGTCCATTCTACAGATCTGCGACCTGATCCGTCAAGGGGACACACAGTAAGTGAGGAGGGCCTGTCCTGTAAGGCAAGGGGTGTCCCCTCCTAAGATGAAGCTGACCACAAGAGTTCTTTACGTGGACAGTCCGCCTGGTCTATATCCTGGGTGTTTCGGTACCTTGGAACAATTAAAGCTGTACAGTTTGGTCTGAAGAACCAAGACGGGGTGTGGAAGGCTGGGCATATAGTTCAGTTGGTGGAGTGTTTGCCTAGCATATGTACAACCTTGGGTTTCATCCCCAACACAGCATAAACCCGGCACGATGGCACTGCCTGTAGTCACAGCACTTGGGAAATGGAGGCAGGAGGATAAGAAGTCCACAGTCTTCCTTAGCTACACATTGAGTTGGAGGCCAGCCTGGGCTACATGAAACCCCGTCTCCAAAAAGCAAATAAATGGTGGAGGTCTTTGTTCACCTTACTGAGATGTTCCCATCCTTTCCTGTTACTGCTGATACTAATGCTTTTTTCTTTTCCCCCCTTAGAGCAAAATACGCTGTAAACTCCATCAAGAAGAAGGTCAATGACAAGAACCCACATGTGGCTCTGTACGCTCTGGAGGTAAGGAGAGCCCTGCTGCAGTGTCTTTCATCTCCACACGCAAGGATTCTTTTCCTCCTAATGTCCGGCACCCCGTGCAATCCCTCTAGTGCTAAGGACAGCTGTGAGCATTGCCTTCCGGCTCGGTCACTCTTATGGGAAGAGGGAAGCATAAGAGACACTGCTTCTCCAGCTGTCGTCCAAACATACACATCCCTCAGGCACGGGGTGGCAGTCACCTCTGGCCACAGGTTTTATCAGGACCCTCGGCCTGTCTTTGGGCGCTGCTTGGGGTCCCTAACAGGCTGAGTGGGCTCAGAGGCCAGTTGAGGCCTGTCTCTTGCAGCAGGAGGAAGGCCTTGCCCTAGACGTAAGCTAGGCCTTTGTCTTCCTTGGGTTTTTCAGGTGATGGAGTCTGTGGTAAAGAACTGTGGCCAGACAGTCCACGATGAAGTGGCCAACAAGCAGACCATGGAGGAGCTCAAGGAGCTGCTGAAGGTGGGTGCTGGACGTCGTGAGAGAAGGCGGGGTCGGGTGCAGTCCCAGCTCTGCTAAGTGTTTGTGGCCTGGCAGCAAGAGGAGCAGTGGGTGTGAGAGAGGAGGCGAGGGAACAGTGGTGTTCCCTGTGAGTGCTCTGTGAGTCCAGCCTCGGCCTGGGAGAGTCCTCCAGGGTCCCTGTGAGTCCAGTCTCAGTCTGGGAGACTCTTCCAGGCTCATGTGTGTGAGGAAGACACTGTTCTTGGGCCCGGGAAGACTTCAGAAGCAGACTTGGGGCTGAGTCTTTTAGGGCTGTGAGCAGAGGTGGTCATGGAGTGTCTGTGTGAGCAGGAGCTTGGGGAAGAGATTTGGAGTAACACACCCAGGGGTGGGAGAGACCTGAGCAGTGAAGGTACAGAAGTTTAAAGTTTAGGTGCATCTGTGACAGAGTCAAGAGGACAAAGCTACAGAGCTAGGAGCTGCCCCTGGGAGGGTGGAGTTCACACCTCCCAGCAGAGGAGAAAGAGCTCTCAGGATTGTCTCCAGGACCACCAAAGGGGTTGTGATGCTGCTAGGCTGGTGGGTTGGGCAAAGTGGCGCTGTTTTACGTGACACAGCATCAGGCTTGGTCTCACAGGAAGCTTCACTCTCAGCCCATGCTGCCTAAGGTGTTGAGCTGTTAGCCGGATCCTACTCATTTTGGGCCTAAATCAGACCTTGGCCAGTTTGTTGCACAGCTGGAGGAGGACAAAGCATCAGGAGACCTCCCTGCTGTTGTGTTGGCACAGCTGGTTCTGTTACCCTGCAGATATCCCTGATGCTGCTTCATCCTGTGTCATCAACATGAGGTGTCAGGCCTCCCTCAGAGAGTGACAGGGATGAGGCTGTGCTGTGGCGCACAGGGCCTGAGCCTTCCGTGGAGAAACATCTGGAGAGGGTATCCCTGCCTCTCTCAGACTGGCAGGAGGGAGAGCTGCCTCTGTAGTGTCCGTATCCTAAAGCCCAGGGCCATGCTTCATGCCCTGCCTAATGCCTTTTGGAGGCCAGTGGGAGCCCTAGGTGCTAGTAATGGTTGTGCACGCCAGAGAACTGTGTCACTGGCCAAGGGCTCCTGGAGAGATGGAGAAGGAGGCGTGGCTGTAGATGAGAAGCATGAAGCAGTATAGCCTCTAGGTGGCTCCTGAGATTAGACTGGTGCCTGGCCACCACCCGGAGACTCTCCCTGGCCTTTGTGCCAATTGTCTCCACTCAGGCTCTTTCCACTGAGACCTCAGACACCCTGGGTCTCCTGCAGCCCTCCCCACTTCCTTCCTCACTCCACAGAGGCAGGTGGAAGTTAATGTTCGGAACAAGATCCTGTACCTGATCCAGGCCTGGGCACATGCCTTCCGGAACGAGCCCAAGTACAAGGTGGTCCAGGACACATACCAGATCATGAAGGTAGAAGGTGAGTTAGAACCGTCCCAGCTCAAGGCTGGGAATGTGACCACCAGGAGCCTTAGGGTTGTCTCGCTAGCAATTAAGCTAGATCGTCCCAGTGATAAGGGGCACGGGAGGGTGGAATGGTCCCCCCTGAGTGACTGGCAGTGAGACTAAGGAGGCAGTGTTCTCCAAGCCTTGGACCATTCTACCTTCCCGTGCCCCTTATCACTGGGACGATCTAGCTTAATTGCTAGTGAGACAACCCTAAGGCCGAGCTGGACCGACAGCCTCCAAAACAATACAGAGAAACCCTGTCTCGTAAAACCAAAAAAAAAAAAAAGTCTGCACACCCAGAGTGATATGCTTCCTGGGGGCAGCGCAGGATGCACAGGCTAGGAAGACCTCGCAAGTCAATACAATGGATTCTAGGAGTTCTGAACACCAGGCACAACCTCAGTTTCTTGGCACCTTTTTCATTTTGTTTTGTTTTAATGTGTATGGATGCCTTGCCTGCAATATATGTCTGTGGACCATATGCATGCATGGTGCCCCTGGAGGCCAGAAGAGGTTGCTGGATCTCCTGGGGACTACTTACAGATGGTTGTGAGCCACCATTTGTGTGCTGGGAACCAAACCGGGGTCCTTTGGAAGCAGCAACCAGTGCTTAGCCACTGAGCC